GAAAAATAAAAAATTTTTAATATTAATCTTATACGCGCACGCACACACGCACGCACACGCATAAAAAAAAAATTTTTTTTTTTTTAAATCTTATTAATTCCAGTTTTTGTTTTGTATTCTTTCGAGTTGGATAATATTCTTCTTCTTTCCCTTTTTTTCCCTTATTTGCCATCCTTTTCCCTTTTATCCCTTTAATCCCTTTAATCCCTGTTAAGTACTTAACAAACGTGTTATTTATTTAAACGTTAATAAGTTACAGGTAACAAAAAAAAAATTAATAATGATAACGTTCCAACTCTCAATTATAAATAAACGTTTCGAAATTAAAAAAAACTATCATTATTATTATTATTATTATTATTATTATTATTATTATTATTTTATATAAATTAATAGCCGGGTATGTGGAATTAAAAAAAAAATGAATGACGATGGACTTAATAAAAACTAGGATCTATTTATTATTTAAACAAAAAACGGGTGTAATTATAATTAACGTAATCACTTAAATGGTGACCGTGAAATCAAAGGAAAAAAAAAAAAATAATAATAATTTTGTTGTGTTGTTGTTGTTGTTGTGTGCAAACACAAACGTTTTACTTTTTTATGAACAAACACATATATTCGTCGAGAATTAAATTTTAAAATCCCTTTCACACACACACACACACACACACGTTAACTTGACACAGTTAATGTCGGGCAGTAAACCAACAACCGAACATTGCAATACAACAAACAACTTGTTTACATGTGAACGCCTTAAAAGAATAAAAAAAAATAATAATAATAATAATGATGAAAAAATAAAAACAAAAACTCCGTTGTGAAAAAAAAATTTTTTTTTACATTTGGGCGAGTCGATTCTTTATCGTTTCGTTTGTTGTTGTTGTTGTTGTTGTTGTCCTATGACCCTTTTATTTATTATTGGCAGATTTTTATATCCGGTCCGTTGGAAAAAAAAAAAAAAAAAAAAAATTTTTTTTTACTATTTTTTTTTTTGTAATTTTTTTTAATTTAACGGTTTCTCACGTTTAATTAGATGTAGGACGGGTGAGGGGAGAGGGGGAAACACGCATATTTTTCGCTAAAAATACCTTAAATTGTTTGTTTAAACACGTGATTTTGTCGCGATAAAAATTACAAAAAATAAATTCGAGCGATTAAACAGTTACAATTTGAAATTTTAGTCTTTGGACAAAATGGAGTCGGTCGTTTCCGGTTTTTTTCCTTTTTTTTATCTTTTCCGTTTCCGGTTTAATTCCTTTTAACGAAACAAAGGTAGAAATCGTACGAGTCGCGAAAAAGAAACGGTTTTATGGGTTTTTTTCCACATTCTAGGTCTCGGATGATAATTCAATCTTGTAATTTATTTAATTACAGTTACGCTTTCGGCTAGAAACACATCATGTCCGAGAATTTGTTCTAACACGCCGCAAAACCCCGTTTGCGGTACTGATGACATTATATACAACACCGAGTGCGAAATGAAAAAAAAAACATGCGGAAAAGGTAAAATAAACTTTTTCAAAGAGCACGATATTAATTAAAAAGAATGCAATGATGATGATAATGATGATAAAATTTTTACAGGAGTCGAAGAAAATTCTAGTCCTACAGGATGTTTAAGATCATCTGGTAGCACATGCGAACATCGTTGTAGCGGGGATAAGGATCCCGTTTGCGGTACGGATGGAAGAACTTATTTAAATCGTTGCATGTTAAGAGTTGAAATATGCAGGTAAAAGTTTTATTATTATTATTATTATTATTATTATTATTATTATTATTATTCATTCCCTAAAGAAAATTTTTAGTTGTAAAAGGTAGTTGGTAAGAAAAAACGTACCACGGCGAGTCCTAATTAGTGACCTGAAAGAGAGAGAGAGAGATCAATGACGTGAGAATTATTTAAAAGGGAGTGAGAGTGAGAGAGAGAGAGAGAGACATTATTTTATAGTCTTATTAAATGAAAAGAAATGAATGCAAATAATTTTAGACTTTGGAGAAAAGAGAGAGAGAGAGAGAGAGAGAAAAAATATGTGAATAATTTTGGTAGTCATTCATCTGCAAAAATAATAAATAAAAAATCCCTAAGGGGATCACGCGATTATCATCATCATCATCGTTTGTATGTGATGATCTCAAATCAAATTCCCCCCCAAAAAAATAAAAAGGTACGACAAAAGCTCTTTCTCCAGTGATTTTTCTCTCAATTCATTCCAGAAAATGGCCGACATTTAAATGTTTTGTTTTGTTTTTAATAATGACGGTTGCTTTTCCTAAGATGCGCTTGTGCGACGACTGCTTTTTTCCATATGTTTTTATCATCATCATCATCATCATTATTATTATTATTAATATATATATATTTTTTTTTGTTGTAACCGCAACGCGAGATTTAAAAAAAAACGAGAACCGAGAATTTCATGTAGTATTACGATTATTCAGCCTTGGGAAGTAAAGACCTTCAATCCTAAAAAAAAATTTTTTTTTTTTTTTTTTTTTTTGTGGCAATCTTCTAGCCGTGGCAATGCCTCGGTCGAGATAAAAATCAGGTTCATACCTAAAAATAAATTTTGATATTCACATGTATTTTACGTCAAAAAAAACCTTAAATAATGAGTACAGATGCATATTTTTTTTTTTTTTATTGTAAAATTTACGTCTTTATTTTTACCATTGATTTATCGATTGCATTTATCTATCTATCTATCTATCTTTATCTATCTACCTTGAAAGAAATCGAATTTTTTTTTTTTTTTTGAGAAGAGAGAGAGAGAGAGAGAGAGAGAGAGAGAATGAATCAATGATAAATATTCGAAACAGTTTTAGCTTCGAAATACCAAAAAAAAAAAAAAATGTACGAGTATATAAATATAATGAGGAGGAGAAGAAGAAGAAGGAGAAGAAGAAGAAGAAGGAGAAGAAGAAGAAGAAGAAGAAGAAGAAGGAGAAGATGAAGAAGAAGAAGAAGACGTTTGAGAGATGAATGATACAAAAAATTTATTAAAAATGTCGTATTTATTAAAAAAATTTTGCCTTAAGATGAAAACGTTACAACATTCATCTTTATTTATTATTATTATTATTATTTTAAAAAGTCCTTGTCGAGTCAAAAAAAAAAAATTTATTATATTAATATTATTAGTCTGAGAAGAATAAGAAGATATTATTATTATTATCACTCTCAAACACGACAAGGCTCTTATTTGTCGGGGGGGGGGTTTTACGCATTTATTCCAGGTTTCTACCCGAGGATTCCTTCGGGACAATTATTCGAATTTCGGTGGTTTATTATTATTATTATTATTAATAAAAACTTTTCGTTACAGAGTCGGAATACAATTATCGCATTTGGGACCGTGTAATAACATATCCGCACATAGGGAAAATTGTCCCGTTTCCTGCGATCAAGCACCCAACGATGGACCCATTTGCGGCTCTGATGGAAACGTGTATAAAAACACGTGTCAAATGAAATTATTGACTTGCGGGTAATGAGAATGAAAATATTATACACGTGTATCAAATGATTTTTGTTGAATACCTTTTTGTCTTTGATTTCAGGCAAGGAGTCGTGAGAACGAGTAAGAAATACTGTCAGACGACGCGACACTGCAGGGAATCCTGCTGGAGAATATCAAAACCGACTTGCGGTTCTGATGGAAAAATTTATGCGAACGCGTGTAAAATGAAATCGAAAAATTGCGGGTGGGTTTTTTAAATTTGGTCATAAATCAAACGTTTGTTGAACTTTTAACCTTTTTTTTTTTTTTTTATATTTATAAAAAGAAAAAAGGTTTTAATTATAGTTTTATCGGGAAAAAATTTGAAAATATTTTTTATTAAAATGATTTCGTAGAAAACACGTTTTCGAAGTGCCCATGGCTTATTGTGCTACACAAGAAAGAACGGCCGTTACATCTGACAAAAGAGAATCTCTCCCCGATTGTCCGACATCTTGTTTTAATGCAAAAGATAAACTTACATGCGGATCAGATGGAAATATTTACACGAGCGAATGTCAATTAAAGTTACTCAATTGCGGGTAATTGAAGGTGTTTTGGTTTCTTAACGAAGTTTCTAGAAAATTTTTAAAATTTTTCGTATTTACTTTGACTGCAGGTCACCATCTAAAAGAAGAGTGACGAAAGTAGATTTCGAAAAATGTAAAGGAAAATTACAAAAATGTTCCTCACTCGTACCTTTATGCGAATCTGAATACGATCCTGTTTGCGGTACCGATGCGACGACATATCCGAGTTCGTGTCACTTGAACATAGCATCGTGTTTGTAAGTAGTATTAAATTTTTTGAGTTTGTTTCGTCGCTGAATCCATTATGAGTTTTTGTTTTTTCTTTGAACAGGAGAGGAGTACAAATGGCACATTACGGAAATTGCACTCAACTCGTTAAAAACAAATGTCCGACGGAATGTCGACAAGATGTCGATAGTCCCGTTTGCGGTTCGGACGGTAACGTTTACCGTTCGGTTTGCGAACTCAGGCGGCAAACGTGCGGCCAATACGTCGTCGGAGTTGCCGCTCATCATTGCAGAACGACAGCGTCGTGTAATGAAAATTGCGGAAATGAAAAAAATTTCGTTTGCGGTTCGGATAATAAATTTTATGCGAACGAATGCGAAATGAAAAAACAAAATTGCGGGTTAGTTTATCATGTTCGAAATGATGATGACGTCATGAAAATTTTATTGCCAACATTTACATTCGAAAAAATTTTTCCTTTTAGTAAACACATGTTCGTCGTACCGATCGGAAGATGTTTAACTGGTTTCGTTTTTAAAGGATGTCAAAAAATATGTCCATCAATTTACGATCCCGTTTGTGGAACGGACGATAAAACATATTCGAACGAATGCTTTTTAGATATGGAAAATTGCAGGTCGAGACGTTTCGTAACGAAACAATATCATGGAAAATGTGGGGATCCGACACTAGAAACTAAAAATTATCTTTATTAAAATTTTTCTTTTGTTTTTTTTTTTATTTAATTTATTTAGTTGAATTTTTTTTGAAATCCGTCGTAAAACCTTGTCGATTTTTTTGTTTAAAGTTATTATTATTATTATTATTATAGTTATACAATTGATAAATATAAATTTTTTTGTATATAAATAAATAAATTGGAAAGGTGATATAAACTTTTTGTTATAAAGTTTTTACAAGTTTTAATTTTAGTTTAAGACAACAAAAAAAAAAAATTTGTTTTTGTATGATATAATTTATTAATAAATATTTATTCGCTATTAATTATTAATAAATTTTATTATTATTATTAATTCAGTCAATAAAGTTTTAATTTATTTAAAGTAAATATTCCTAACTGAATCGTAATATTACTCTTTTTTTATAAAAAGAAAGAAAAAAAAAATTTTAACGTCGGTCTAACCGGAAATAGTATTTTGAAGTAGCAGCAGAATAAATAGCAGGAAACTCATTGAAAAAACGGGTCAAAGTCAGTTGAGTAGTATTGACCACCAATTTTGCCGTTAATGCAGTTATTCAAAATGGCAGTTTCCTGCACAGTGGTTAGGTAGTTGGGGCGTTTTTTTAAAAAAAAAAAAAAAACTATTTAAAATCGTCCATGTTATGATTTCAAACATGTGTCACAACATTTAAAGGTTGGTTTTATATATTTTATAATAAATCATACTGGAGAAGGAAATTATATTATTCGTATCTAAAATTAAAATTTAAAATTTTTTCGCAGTTAATAAAAATTGACAGATTATCGAATTTGAATTATAAATTTTAATTTTAATTTTTTTTTTTGTTGTTGCAATATCGATAACGTTTAGTCTTTTCGATTCAATAATAATAATAATAATTTTCTATTCATTTTTTTTTTTGTATATTATGCATATGACCCCATTTCAAATAATAAAATAATAATTTTGTAATATAACTAACTATTAGTTAAAAACTAGGTTGCCTACACTTTCATTCAAAAATTTTTTTTTTCTATATCGATGTTTGGTTAAAAATTAATTTATTAAAAAAAAAAAAAAAAAAAGGTAGCAATTATAAGTTGTAGTTACAAAAAATACAATTTTTTTAAATAGTATCTTTAACAAAAAAAAAATTTGTTAATGTGCAATAAAACGTTTATTTTATTTAATTAATATTCAGTAAATCTTATTATCATTATCAATTAAAATTTGAGTAGTCAAATATAAGATTTCATTTAATTTAAAACCATCTATAACTATACATCTAATTATTAAAATATTTAAGTAATTAGTATGAATTGTGTTTGTTGTAGAATAAAATAAAAAAATTATATTTCAGTTGAACATGTTGTAATGGAGTCTTCGAAATTGTCGTTATTAAAAGTCAATTAAAATAAATTTTTGTAACAAAAATGAAATCAAAATCTAAAGGAAAACCTCATTCAGATTCAGAAGGGAGTGTTGATAGTAATTCATTATCATTGGAAAGTGGAAATGTGAAAACTGTCAAAGACAACAGTGAGTTAAAAATGACGATTTGTTTTTAAATTCAAGTTTACTTTCGTTACAATTTTTATTACAACTTGTGTTAATTTTTTAAATAGGAAGTAAAGGTCGTAGAGGTTCAGAATGGGAAATTTTAGAAGGGTTAAAGGATGGGCAAAGGTATAATATAAAACCTCAAGTTTTAACTGGTTATTTGCATAAAAAAAGAAAATGGCCTCTTAAAGGATGGCATAAGGTAAAAATAAAAATTTTACTACAAAAATTGTTTTATTCGAAACATTAAGAAAGTTTTTTTTTTTATTTTAGAGATATTTTGTAATCAATAAAGGAATATTGGTGTATGCTCGAACTCCGAGTGATATTACAAGAGGTAAAATTCATGGATCTGTTGATATTGGATTAAGCGTAATTTCGACTAAAAGCAAAAGTAGACGAATTGACATTGATGCAGAAGAATTTATTTACCATCTTAAGGTTGTCATAACTTAAAATTTAATTAAATTCATTATTTTATTATGATTATTGTAATTTTAATTACATAATTAATTGTTATTGATTTTCAGGCGAAACGTTTGGATACATTCGTCAAATGGGTTGAACAATTAAGAAAACATCGATTATTTCGACAGCATTTACTGACATTTGGAGCTAGAGAAAACACATGCACTGACTGTGATAATACAATTTCATTTCAACCTAATCGTAATTATCATAAAAATTTTTTAATTAAGTTTTTATCGCTTGTAGTGAACACTTTCGAACGTGATAATTTCATTTTTTTCTAGCTAATTCTTTTACTCCTCCCATTAGTCCAGCACGAGATAAAACTCTACATTGCGGTTTAATACCTGCTGCTACTCCTGTAGGGGGTAGACTTGCCGTTTGGCTAGTAGATTCCATGCCAATGTTGGAGGGTCTTCAAAAAGATCTAAAACTTATAGGGCAAAATATTGTTCATTTATCCAAAATTGCTGATCAAATATCTTCCTCTTTGGCAGCTTCTGTAACTGATCAGGAAGTATGGCTCATCATTCATTTTTGAAATGGCTAATTTTTTTTTTTTTTTTACCATAAATTTACTTTTTATATTTATTATTTAAAGAACACGAGTGAAGGTTGTTCTCCGAATGTTAAGAAAGACAGAAGAAAATTTGGCTTGCTCAAAAAGAAAAGCAATAAAGGAAGTTCTGTTGATTTGGCGTCCTCTTCTCTAAATGACAATCTTTTACCTTCTGCAGTAAGTGTATATAATGTTTGATAAATAAGAGTAATTAATTTTTTTAAAAGTACACATAGATTTATGACTCTTACATAATTTTTTTAGAATGTCCCTATATCTTCACAATCGGCAGCTCTTTCCAGTAGTCAAACTTGTTTATCTTCAAACGCTTCCTCAATGAATTCATTGAACAGACCTCAAAGTTTGCCAGGTTCTGAACATTTGATGCAACAATTCGTATCATCTTTAGATAATAAGAGTGCGATAACTCCAGAGTTGCAAATGCGAGAAGATTTTATTGTTCTTGCCAAAGATGGTAAATTTTAATATTTAATACTTTTACTTTTATTGAGCGATAAATAAATAAATTAATAACTTTTTGTACAGTTCAAACCAACTTAAAAACGGTCCTCTGTAGATTGACGGGAGAGTGCGATCGATTGAAAACAGCTTGCGAATCAGAAAATAGTCAATTGTTAAACATGAACAATTCAAATGTTTTAGTAAGTTTAAGACATTCTTTAAATCAGGCTTTAGTTCAAAATAACGAATTAAAAAACCGATTAAACCGCGTTCATGAGATTGCAGATCTAGCCGATATAAGTTCGGTTGGCCCTGCCTCAGATGCAGTAAGTATAAAATGAAATATTCAAAAAAATATTTTTTCCGATTTCCATTATTTTTTACAAAAAATTTAAGATAAACATTTTTTTTTTTTTTTTTTTTTTTTTTTTTTTTTCACAGAAGCAAATCGCCGGGAACTTGTCATACAGTTCATCTTGCCTCAGCGCGAGCGAGTTTTTCGACGCTGAAGATAATCTTCCAAAATTTGAAGAATTAGAAGACAAGAAAGAAAATGTCGATAACAGCGAAAGTTCGAGCGAAAACAATTCGTTTTCCAGCGAAGAAGGAGAGGAGGAGAACAGTTTATCCAGTGAAAACTCCGATGTTGCCGAAGACTATACAATGAGCAGAAGTAACTACCAAATACGACTGATATTATAAATGATTATTTAAAATGATAATTTTTTATAAATTAATGTCGTAATTTTTATCAGTCTCTGGACCGACCATTTCCGTAACTGGCCGCAGAACTAAACTTCCAGCTCCACGTCCCAATTTGGAGGGATTGTCCCTGTGGAACATTTTATGTAAAAATATCGGTAAAGATTTATCGCAAGTGTCGATGCCAGTGTCATTAAACGAGCCATTAAATATGTTACAGGTTTATTTTCAATTTTATAATTTTATTTTACTTCAGCAAAAAAGGAAAATTTAATCAAGTTTGATTATTATTATTATTATTATTATTATTATTATTATATTTTTTAGAGATTGTGTGAGGAATTGGAATATTCTGAATTATTGGACAAGGCATCTGAATTAGATGATCCTTACGAAAGAATGATTTACGTGGCTGCTTTTGCCGTTTCAAGTTATTGTTCTTCCTATTACAGAGCCGGATCAAAACCTTTCAATCCTTTTCTAGGAGAAACGTACGAATGCGTAAGAGAAGACAAAGGCTTTAAATTTATATCCGAACAAGTAAGTACTAATTTAAGATTTCTTCAACTTTTTTTTTTTTTTTCTTTCCGGTAGTGAGAAAAAAAAAAAAAAAAAAGAAAAAATTTTTATTTTTTATTTAAGGTATCTCATCATCCTCCTATATCCGTTTGTCACGCGGAAAGTAAAAATTTTATTTTCTGGCAAGATGTTCGAATCAAAACAAAATTTTGGGGGAAATCTATGGAATTTCAACCGGCCGGTAATATATTTTTTATTTATTTATTTTATTTTATAAATTAATTAAATAAGAGTATATTTAAAATCGAGTATTTCGTGAATTTTCAGGTACCGCAAATGTTTTGCTACCCAAAAGCGGCGAACAGTACGAATGGAACAAGGTTACGACATGCGTTCATAATTTATTTAGCGGTCAAAGATGGGTGGACCAATATGGAGAATTGAAAATATCATCCAGTTCGGGAATCACATGTAAACTAACATTTGTCAAAGTATGTGTAAATTACGCAATCCAAATGAGAAAAAAAGGTTTTTTATGGCTTCGTACCTGAATTTTTATTATTTACTCGTATACAGGCAAGTTATTGGTCTTCGAAAAGGCACGAAGTACACGGTTCCATAACTAGTCAAGACGGAAAAGTTGTTAGAAATATATTTGGAAAATGGAGCGAAGGTCTTTATTGCGGTGTCGCACCGTCTGCCAAATGCATATGGCGACCTGGTAAGTTGAAAAAAACAGTCAGGTATGTTTCGGTATCCGAGACGACTCAAGGAACAATACAATTTATGGTTTTAATTAGGTACGATGCCAGAAGATTACGAATTGTACTACGGTTTTACCAGGTTTGCAATAGAATTAAACGATTTAGATTCGGAAACGGCTAAATATTTACCACCAACGGATACGAGGTTTCGTCCAGATCAAAGGTATAAAAAAAAAGGTTTTCATTTCGACGGCAGGTTTTCTTATTAAACAAAACCAATTTTTTAGACTTTTGGAAGAAGGAGATTTGCAAGGAGCGGAAAATTTAAAATTGACATTGGAACAATCGCAAAGAGAAAGGAGAAAGAAAAAAGAAGCCGAGGGAAAACCCGCATACGAGAGCAAATGGTTTTTCAGGGAAGAAATCGGGAACGGAGAAGAAAAATGGACGTTTGGTAACAAATATTGGGAAATGAAAAAAAATCCAGGATTTGCAAATATGGAATTTGAAGCGTTATGGTGATGATATTCCCATTTATTATTTTTTTCTAATTTTTTTTATTTGTGTAAAATTTGTTTTGCTGCCGGCAGCATTTTGAAATGAAAATTTTATTGTTGGAAAATAGAAAAGGAATGGAATAGATATATTTATGCTTTATTAAAAAAAATAAAATTTTATTTTATTAAAAAAAGGAAAAAGGGAAAAACAGGAAGTATTAACAAATTAACCGTATTATTAATTTCTCAAATTAATTTAATTTTATATATATATATATATATATATATATATATATTTATTTTAATTATTATTATTATTATTAATGAAATAAATAATGGGTTAACGATTGACAGACGAGCGGTAATAGGTTTCGAAATAATAATAATAATAATATAATAAAAAATGAGATTTGTCATGGAATACTCATTATTATTATTAATGGTTGAAAAATCAAAAAGAAATTTTAATTTGCTTTAGTAGTGTTTGGTAAATTAAATATTTGTATTATATAATAATTAATTAATTAATTAATTAAATTTTCGGTAGACAATAAAAATGTTAATTAATTATTATACGTCATCATTGAGTTTATAATAATAATAATAATTATAAATATTATTAAAAAATTACTATTGTTGTTGTTGAAAAAAAATTATTATTTTTATTTAAATTCGATAAAAAAAAAATAATAATAATAATTATTTACAAAAAATGACGAGCGCTTCATTATTTAAAAAAAAAAAAAAAAAAAAAACACAAAATTAAAATTAAATTAAATTACCAGCTGAGAAGTGCCTGTTTTCGTTTTATTATTATTATTATTATTATTATTATTATTATTATTATTATTATTATTATTATTATTATTATCATCATCAAATGTTAAATCGTTAAAAAAGGAATCTCTGGAATCTGTCTCATTAAAATTTACGATTAAAAAAAAAATTATTTAACGGTTTTTTTAATTGAATCAATTACGATCGAATTATCGTTGATAATAATAATAATAATAAAAAAGTAATTAGTAGACGTAATAAAATTACATGTACGACCGACTGATATTATTATTATTATTATTATTATGGGAAAAAAAAATTATTTCAGTGTTATAATAATAATAATGATTACTTCCTAGAGCTTTTGCGTTTAATAAAATTAATTTTTATTAATAAATTAATTTATTGTTTAAAATAAATAATTAAAAAAAAAAAAATTATTTACACGTGATTAGATGAAAAAACAAAAATTTAATATTATTATTATTATTATTATTATTATTATTATTATTATTATTAATTATTATTATCATTATTATTATTATTATTATTATTATTATTATTATTATTATTATTATTATTATTATTATTATTATTAATTTTTTAACCGTCAACTTTTTTTTATTTTTTTTTTTTACTTTTAAATTTTTACTCCTTTTTATTATTATTATTATTATTATTATTGTCACTCTTTAAAACGACAAGTTGCTTATTTGTCGGGGATTTTTAAGCATTTATTCCAGGTTTCTACCCGACGATTCCTTAGGGATAAATGCTCTTATTATTATTATTATTATTACTATCTTGATATTTGTTTTAAGTCAATTAAAAGTAATAATTAATATATATATATATATATATATATATATATATATTATTAGTTAGGAAGATGTCTTCCTTAGTACAGAAAAAAAAAAAAACATTTTTTTATAAATATTAAAAAAAATAGAAAGAAAAAGAAATCCATAAGAGAATAATAATAATGATAATGATGATAATATTAATAATAATAATTTTTTTCGATTAAAAATTAAATAAAAAAAATTATTATTATTATTATTTATTATTTTATTTATTTATTTATTTTATTTTTGGTTTAAATAAATCAAAATTCTGTTATTATGTATACATAAATATATACATAAATATTTTATGTATTTGAAAAATATTTTTTTTTGGGTTGAAAATGGAAAAAAAAACCAAAAAGAAAAAAAGAAAAAAAAATTATTTTTGTTCGGAGAAAGTTTTATTTAAAAAAAAAAATTAAATAAATAAATTTATTATTATTATTATTTTACAATAATTATATTATTAATTTAATTTTTATTATTATTATTTTAGTTATGTAAATTGATTTATTGTTGTTTTTTTTTTTTTTTTTAAATTAACTAATAATGTTGTGTGAGATCATCCATGTTTTATTTTGTATTCTGGTAACCATGGAAACTCAAACCCATTACAAATGTTCTCTTTTAATAATTTCACACGTAAAATATACGTGAGTATTTTTTATTAATTTAATTAATTAATTAATAATAATAATAATAATAATAATAATAATAATTTTTTTTTTACAAGGTTGTAATGTTGAGGTAAGATAGAAATTGTTAATTTTTTTTTATAAATTAAATTTAACGTAATGGTATTGAATTTTGTGGTAGAAAACAAAAACAAAACAAACAAACAACAATCTTTAAATGGCGGATTAAGGTAATATGGCGGAAAGAAAAAAAAAAAAAAAAAAAAATTCTGTACCAATCTACGATGGGATTTAAAATGTAATTGATTTGGGAAAATGAAAGTTTTAACGGTGGTGACCCACATTTAAAATGTTTTTTTTTTTTTTTTGTTTTTAGAATGGAAAAACTTCTTCACCGTTTAGTATTAAAAGTTCGTTATCATTACCATCGTTTGATATATTGCCGAAGAAAAGGAAAAACACATGGAAAAAATTTAAAAATCGTGGAAATAAAGAAAACGTAAGATTTTTTTATCATCGACAGATGTATCGACTGTTATTTCGAAGAAAAATTTTCTTTTCTTGCAGGCAGAACCCAAGAACGAGATGGAAGAAGAAAATAATTCAGATAAAAATATCAATACCGAACATGGAAGGGTTCATAATTTGAGGAAAAGTTATTCGAGGGGAGAGCACAAATGTAGCAAAGGTCACAGGCATCGAAAATGTCATCAGGCCCCCAAACCTACGAACTCTACCATTTCCAAGAAAGAAAATTCAAACGTTGGAGAATCCGAAGAAATGATTTCACCCTTGGAAATGAATTTGGATGTCGCTTATCAACACGTTAAAAGTGAAAATAATAAATTAAAAATCGACCTGGAAAATTTAAGGGATGAAAACGAAGAAGTTCGCATCACAGGTGACAGATTATTAAAAGAAAACGAAGGGTTGAAAGAGGATGTGTCTTTGTTGAAAAATCTTGTTTATAAATTGAACGTGGAATTAGAAAGGTATCAAACGGGTGGTGGAAATGTCAAATCGGATAATTTAATCGGAAGAATCGATAAATTACCGAAAAATTACGATAATAATTTTCTAAGACCCGTCGTACCCCTTTTAAAAGCCTACAGCGAATCCCTACAGGAAAAAGATGACACGATAAAAGATTTAGAAAGCGAATATAAAAAATTCAACGTTGCTTTCAACGAAATAATACAGGAAAATGAAAAATTATATGCGGAATTGGAAAAGAAAATGATGGATCCGGATAGAAACGCTCTGAACGAATTAAAAGTATTAAAAAAAGATTTAAATATGGCGAAAGAAGAAAATAATTTACTTTTCGAACAAATAAAATTAGAAAAAGAAAAACTGGTCAAAATTCATTCCGTATTCAAAGTCAAAGGTAAGTGAAAATCATATATCGGTTCATTTCATTCGGGGGGGGGAAAATTTATTTACGAATTTTCTTTTTACAGTCGACGAAGCATCCAAAGAGAGAGAAAGCGTCAAGTATAATTTAGAAGAATGCAAATCCGAATATTTAATAATGAAAGGAAAATACGCCATTTTGAAACAGGAATTCGACAGGTTAAAAATGGAGTACGACACGAGAGTACCGTTGGCCGTTCATTCGGCGTCCATAAACGAATGTCGAAAATTATTTCAAGACCTTAAAAACGAATACGAAAATGAAAATTCTCGTTTGGTGTCGAAAATAAAAAACCTCGAAGATGATTTATCGAGATCGAATAAGGAAGAAGAAAAATTAATCGATGAAAGGAATTTATTGGAAAAAAATAATTTCGAACAATCATTTGAAATAGAAAATCTATTGAAAAAAATTACGGATTTGGAAAATCAATTGAGGAGCGTCGGCGTTTCGTGTCATAATCGTGGGAAAAGCAAACAGGAATTGAAAGAATTAAAAAGACAATTAGGGTTAGAAAAATGGTTTTCAGGTACGCATGCGTTAAAGAAACTATTTAATTGGAAAATTTTTCTTTTTTCGACAGAGAAGCCAACGACAAAATAGAAAATTTAAATAAAGATTTATTATCGACGAGGAAAAAACTTCACAAAGCTCTGCAGTTTGCCGAAGATATCGTTAAAGGACAAGAAAAACTTTTGATTCAATTACACGAAAAACAAAAAGAAAATAATTTCATGTCGGCACAATTTGGAAGTTTAAAAAATCAATTGAAAGTAAATTTTAAGAAAATTGTTTTCTCTCTTGGAAAATTTCAAAAAAAAAGATTTCGCAATGTTTTTTTTTTTTTTTTTTTTTTTTTTTTTTTAATAATTTAGGATGTTGAGAGAGGAGCACAAAAAGGTTTAAATTCAGTCGAAGAAAGAATAAAAAGTTTAGAAAAGGAAAATGAAATATTAAAAATGAAAAATGAAAAGTTGGAAAAAATAATTGCTGATAAGGAAAAATCAAGGGGAAAATTAAAGGCAGGGGGGGGAGTAAAAGGAGAAAAAAAAAAAAAAAAAAATACGTCTTCGTAAAAACGTTCACGTAAATTAATTTTGTCAATTTGTTCGGGAAAAAATTTTTTTTCTAAACTAGGAAAAATATTATTTTGGTTTCTTTTTTCAGGTGTAAATTTTTTATTAAAGAGAGAGGAGATAGAAGAATGTGTAATTACTGTTTTTGTAAATTAAATCCAATGAATTATTTTAATATTAAGGTAAGGTTTTAAAAGATTCGATTGGCAAAAATCAATTTTTTATTGCATTAATAAAACTAAATATTATTATTATTATTATTATTATTATTATTTACAGAAATTACAATAAATTTTTAACTTCGTCGTACAAAACTAAAACGAGTGCTCCGCCCGTTCCCCTCAGGATATTAGAAAAAGCTCCTTTGAAAAATGCCGAACCACCTTCATCTTTTAATATGGTCACCCAACAGTGCAAGGTATTTTTATAAATGATGTCTTTTTCCGCTCTTCCAGCTTGCATCATCATTCTCCTAAAAAAAAAAAAGTAAACGACGATGTAAACAAAATAATAATTAATTTTTTAAAATATTAGTTTACATAAAAAAAAAAAAAAAAAATTTACCTTCTGACCGTGTCGAACGGATAGGATGCTATGCCTGACACGGTCGTCACGACTTGTGCAATCGCCCAAGAAATGAAAAACGGTGTCGTTTTAGGATTAGGAAGTTGTTCTCTAGCCGTGTCGTACAGTCCGAAATAAGCAGCTCTGTATATGATTATACCTTGAACGGAAACGGAAAATCCTCGATATAGGCCGAAGAGTCCGTTCGATTTAAACGTTTTCATTATGCAATCGCCCAATCCGTGAAATTCTCTAGTGCCTAAATTTTAGTGTATAAATATCGGAATTTAAAAAAAAAATCACATCGAAATGTCGTTGAAGTGACGTCACAAACCTTTAGCTTTTCCGACATCGGCAGCCAATCTCGTTCTTGCAAAATCCAATGGATAAACGAAACATAAAGAAGTTGCACCCGCAGCACCACCCGATGCCAAATTTCCGGCAAAATGTCTCCAAAATTGTTTTTCCTTATCTATACCATCTAAAAATAATTTTTTATACTTGTCTTTAAAAGCAAAATTTAATGCCTGAGTCGGGAAATACCTGTGGAAAAACAAGAAAATTTTTTTAAAAAGTTTTAAACGTTTGAATTTATTGTTTTCTTTACCTCACGACATTAGCCAAATTCCCTCTCCAAAAGCTCATGAAACCCTGTTCTTTGGGTATTCTCATAAAACAATCAATCATTCCCTTATAACGATCTTCAACGGCTATTTGCTTGGAAACATGTTGGACTTGCAAAAGGAGTTTAACTCTTTCGATGGGAGCGACAGCAGTTTTCGAAACTGCTGCCGATATACCACCGGCAGCAAAATCTTTTAAAAATGATACAGGATCGACTAATCCACTCGACGATTTATTTCCAGACATTTTTAATTATTTAAACACTTGATTTCCGCACCGAAACAAAAAAAAAAGAAAATTAATTAATTTTTTATTATTTGTACTTTTCAGATGGGATAAATTGTTGTTTGTTCAGCGTTTGTTCAGCGGCGACACTTACACGTATAACAATGATAACCTCTCGACGACAAATAGTAATTTATTCGAACTTGCCATCGTAATTATTACACGGATGCTAATAAATGACATGTGAAATTTTTTTTTTTAAGGTTTAATTAACTCGTACATCTTTTGATTTATTCAGGTATTCAGGTATATAATTTTTTTTATTTCATAACATTCAAAACATGTTGTCAAAAAAAAAAAAAAAAAAAAATTGTAAATCCTTGACGAGAAATAAATAAAAAATAAATTTTTTTTTTTAGGTTTTAAAAGGATTTTTATTCTCACTCATCATCATCATCATCATCGTCGTCGTATTCGTATTCTTCAGGTTCTGTCGAACTTGTAGGTTCACGTTTGAAATTCCAATTGATAAGAACACCTTCGTCTGATTCTCCCTGATACGTTGCTATTACGACAAAATACGTCATCATGGAACTCACCAACTGTTTAAAAAAAGTGGAAATTATTTTTTTTTTTTATTTTTTCAAAAAAGGAAAAATTTAATATTTTCAATTATTATTATTATTATTATTATTATTACCGAATTTAAAAATGGATAGTGAAGATTGAAAAATCGTACGTGAAACATGAGAGCATGTTGTTTTATTTGAACGGCAAATATTTCCAACTGAAACAATTCGAAACGGGCTTTATTTAAAAAAAAAATTTTTTTATGTTTTAAAAGAGGTTAAAAGGAGAAATACCTCCTTCAATATGTCGCTATCGTAGTAATATAAATTCATCAGGTGATGAACGATGGTAAGAGTTTGTCCAGACTGTGAAAAGATTTCATTTCATTAAAAAAAAAAAAATGAAAATTTATATCGATTGTTTTTATCACTTACAGGTTCGATTTATTACCTCGTACATTGCTTTTTCGCAAATGACAATCATTTGTACGACGGTTAAAACGTAGGGTAGTAGCCATAAGCTGTCGCAAAGAACGTTCAAAGTACTTTCGACAATGTCGGTTATTGTAAAATCTCCAATGATGGATCTCATTGCATAAACGGCTTGAATCATGGAATAAATGATGACCATGAGGAGCTTTAAGAAGAAAAAGAGGTAAATCGTAAAATAAACATAAGAAAAAAGAGGTAATAATGAATCAGGTTTTATAATACCTGTTCGGAATAATGTGAATTTATATCTTTGGCTATATTGATCAAAAACAAATGAGCTTGTCTCAATTTGATTATTTCCCGAGTGTAAAACCCGAAAAAATTTGATTTGGATTCGATCATGTCTTTGGGTTTTATTTTAATCAATCTTTCGTTAATGTATTTGAAAGTTTCCGATATTAAATTCGTGAGTTGGAAAAATATAAGGGAGGAAAGGAACATTGTCAAATCGCCGAATATGTAAAGGGATGACGTCACGGGAGTGTGATTATCGTTGGGCCAAACCCAATCGTGACCCAATACGTTGTAAGTGACGATGAAGGCGACGTTGACGAAAACGTGAGCGACGTTCATTTTAAATAATTTTTCCTGACGTTTTACCGGTATTGTGACGTCGAAATTTTTCAATTCTTCCACGGCGCGAAGTATTTTTTTATTTCTACAAAGCGTGAGAAAATAATTGAAGTAATACGTGAACCACCAACTGAATGTGTCCAGGCGGACTATCAAACCGTGCAAACCGTTCGCATTTTGTTCCCAATATTTTATGCTCGGTAATTCGTGTGCGAGAGAACCGATTTGCAGGAGTAAAATGAACAAAACGTACGAAACCTTCCATATTTTTTTTTCATTCCAGAAAAAAAATACTATTCCCAGTGCTTGACCGAGTATCAAAACCGGTGATAAAATTTTTCCAACGTTCAATATCGGATTATCGAATACTTTGGCTGGAATGAAAAATGGAAAAACAAAAACTCAATTAATTAAATTTAAATTTAAATTAAAAAAATGATAATGATGATATCGATTGTGTGTGTGTTATTACTTTTTATCATAACTCGAAGTGATGATGTTAACGAACTACAACTAACCACTACCAACTAGAAATTTTGAAATTTAAAAAAAAAAAATGGCCGAGATTTGATTGTTTGTAATTATCACGTTTTTGTGCGTGACGGGGAAAAAAGTTTGACCTTAGCAATAATAATAATAATAATAATAATTCAAAGAATTTATTAATAAATAATAATAATAATAATATTTAATTGAGTGCGTGTTAAAAATTAGAAAATTATATGGTGTATGAAAACAATTTAATTTTAATTTTTTTTTTCTGTTTTTCTTTTTGTAGGCATTCAAAATGGCTGAAAATGTAAATAATTTATATTGATGATTGGATTAACTTATGGAAAAATATAAATGTCGTGTCAAAACCTTAATTTTCTATTAAAAAAAAAAAAACTGACCGTGATTTGTTGCTTCATCATCATCATCATCATCATCACCTGTGGGAAAAATTAAGGTGTCAAATAATTAACAAACTTGTCCTTCACGTATTGTTTTCCAATCGATCAACGTATAATTTCTTGGGAAAGGTTTACGATGTGTAAACAACGTTTGGAAATATTATTTTAAATTTTGAACAAAAGAATGATGTCGTCGGATTGATTTAAAAAAGTAATTAACGGTTTTTTAAAAATCGAACATTCAAGAGAATGAATGGGAAAAAGGGAGGAGTCGAAGAATTAATTCTACCGATAATGACGATATCGCAAATAATGGGCACGACGTATTATAAGAAAACGTTGGAAAATAATAAGAAAAAAATTTTCCTATACAGAATCATAATATTATCCTTCATAATAATGGTACTCGTACACGAAATACCCACCATGATATTTTGGACTCGTAACACGGAAGGGATTCACGCCATATTGGCATTCATGGAAACGAGACTTCGTTGGGGAGTCGTAATAATAAATTTAATCGTGAACAGCGGGAGAAATGGAAAATTTAACGAAGTCGTAGAAGAATTGACGAATACAGAACTCAACGTGTACGACGATAAGAAAAAAATAATATGGTTTCAAATATTTATACTTTCATCGACTCTAACTCTTTTAATTTGCTACATGTGTTTGGGAGTGGATGTGCTATGGATAAATCCGTATTATCATTGGTACACGTCATCCGTTTACATAATAACGGAATTTTACACGGGTTTTGCTAACGTTCAATTCGTCGTCGTTTTATTCGTTATAAAAAAACATTTGACGGCTCTCAAGGATGATATAAGGAATTCGGATTTTAAATTGATGAACGGTAGCAAAAAAAAAGACGTGATGGTTTTTTTCGTTTGTAGCAAATTCAAAAGGGACGACATTGGAGAAATCGTTAAATTCCGACAGATACACATGAATTTGATGAACGTTTGTTATAAAACAAACGATTGTTTTTGCATACAAGTAAGTCGATATTTTATCGTCGAAAGCAAAACGAATTTAATTTGAAAGCAAATGATTTCTATTTATTTAAGGTATTTATTTTTTTAATGACGTCACTAGTCGAAATGACTTATTCGTTCAGGTCGGCGGTGGTATTTTATTTGAATCCGGATGGTGGTAGCGTAAATTCATGGAAGACGAAATATTGGTACGAAGTTGCGTTGATTTTTTTCTGGGGAGGTTATTACATGTGGCAAATATTAATAATAATAGTTTCCTGTTCTGCTGTCATATTCGAAGTAATTAAATGTTTTTCCTTAAAGAAATTATAATAATAAAAAGTCGCGGGTGATACGTTTGCATAGAATAAAAAAACGATAAAGTAATATCATAATGTTTTTCCAGGCTTTCGATATATCGAACGCGGTTAACGATTTATTGAATAAAGTAGAGGATAAGGAATCGAAAAAACAAGTGAGATATTATTATTATTATTATTATTTTACGAATAACGGTTTTTTCAAAAAAATTTGTTCCCCCCCCCCGTTGTTGTTTTTAATCATTGAATATCAGTTGCAGATATTTTCGTTGCAAATAATGAATCATCAAATTGTTTTTTACGGTGGGAAATTTATCATATTGAATTATCCGTTAATTAATTCGGTAAGTTTTTGGCAAAAAATCGTTTTTAAAAATTTCGTTCGCGAACGATTTTGAATTTTTGAATTTTTTCTCTTTCAGATAATTGGAACGGTTATGACGTATCTTGTCATCATATCGACATCTAATTTTTAATTAACTCTTCGAAAGTAGGAAAAATTTGATGGTAAGAGAGAGGTAATTAAAATAATATACATAATCGTTTATAATTTAAATAAGTGTATATATTTATAAATATATATGTATATATAAATAGCTCTTTTTTATGTGAATCTTTTAAGTGATAATATTAGTTTTTTTTTTTTTGTTGATAAAATGAAACGTTAAATTAAAAAAAGAAAACTTTTTCTAGTACTCTATCATAAAGGGGGAAAACTTATGTTGAAGAATGTAAAATCTTATTGAAAGCATTATATGAAGTTTCTAAATCGAAAATGAGTTGTCTTGCTTGAACATCGGACAATTCGTCAGAGGCTTGCATGTTTGATAAAACTTCCAACCAATGGGCAACCTAAAAGTATGATTTTATTTTTTACAAATTTTTACCTTATTCGTTATGTTGTCGTTTTAAAAGTTTTGACTCACCTTTTCTTTTCCTTCGAAATCTGAAGGTAGTAACATTAACCTATTCATTGTGTCTGCTAAATCTTTTATATCTTGATGAAGTTCATCCATAGCTCTTATTTCAAGCCTTAATTTATCCATTATCGTAATGAAAAGCTAAAAAAAAAAAAAAAAGGAAATTATTATTATTATGACCGAGATGAAATATGAATATGAGTTGGGAAAAATTTTTTAACTTACAGAAACTATATCAGCAATGCATTTACTAGTATTTCCTTTGTCGTCTTTAATTGTTATAGGTCTATCTTCTTTAATTCTTTCAAGGGCGGCAGGACAATCCAACTAAATAAAAAATAAATAATAGTTTGTTTTTTCTTATATGAATTCTCTTAATTTTCAATATAAAAAAATCAATACCCTAAATTTTTTAATGAATGCTTCTACTGTAGGAAACTCATCGCCTTGAACTTGTTTAAATGCAGCTTTATACTGCACAAGTAATTTACTACAAGCTGCTGTGTATTCTTTTGCAGTAACACAATCTCTTATGTATGCTTTTTCCAATGCTTGAAGAGTTTTAATGACTGCATATAAATCTGCCATATTATCATACTTTTCTCTTTCTCTGGCACCTCTATACAATTTTACTTCTTCCAAGAGTTCTGGTCTAGTTTCTGGAAATTCAAATACATTAGATATCTTTCTTTTTTAAATTGACATTTCCGTAAACGAATTAATAAATAAAACTAAATTTTGTTACATTAATAACCATTTTAATAAATAATGATGAAAAAATTAGTTGTCAAATTTAGTTGTAATTAAATGTTTTCATGAGCTTTGTTTGTTTTCAGGAAGTCCTGTTTCAAATAATTCGAAAGAGTCCGAAAATTAATGACGTCTATTAATTAAGGTAATTAAATAAAATAGAATTTTTACACTCACCTTGACCAGTATGAGCCATGTTTTTAAATTATTAATAATTTCATCAAATTTTTAAATATTAGTAATAATGTATTTATAGTGTAATGTAATGTAATTAGTTATCAGTTTACCAACATTAAAAAAAAATAAGGTTGGCAATTGTTTTCATAAAAATGCAATAGGTTTTACTTTGAGTGCAATGGCGTCTAATTGGTATATATTATGTTTATTGTTTATTTTTACTTCTGAATCCGGTTCAGGTGAGTGTTTACAAACATTTAATAAAGTTTTAATTACTTTTAATAATTCCCAATTCGTTCCCAATTATAAAATTATTTACTCACGATAAAAAAGTAAATTTTTTTTGTACGTTTTAAAAACTCCTTATTATTTATTTTGACTACTATTGTTTTTTAAATGTAGGAGTATTTGTTATAAACGTACATTAATAAATATTATTTTTTTACTCTGCATTTTGTTAAAAAAAAAAAAATATCGGTATGAAATTATTCAGAATGAATGTTCTTTTAAGAATTTTCACAAACATTCTGTTTTACACCCAAAAATTTAATTTACCCCGAGGGTATATAAAATTTATTTTTGTTTAAACAGTTACATTACCTCCTGGATCTTTAGTAGAAAGTGATAGCGATACAGAAATAAAAGAACAAGTGGAAGATAATACTATTGCAAATGAATTATTAATAAAAGCCCAACAAGAACAAACGTTGAGGTTACACAAAAATTTAATAAGACATCTTAATCGTAATGAATCACATGAGGTACCTAAATTTAAATGTCTTTCTTGTGATCCTCCAGACTGCATTCCACAGCCCCCATGTATTGATGCCTATCAGGTATTTAAACTTATTTAATATTAAATGTAATAATATAATAAGTAAACAAATAAAATAATAAATAATTTATTTTTTTTGGATTTTAAAGTGTTGGAAATCTCATACGAGAGATTTGAATGGCGTTGAAGCCGTGTCTAGAGGATGCATTAAAAAAAAAGATCAAGTGCCTTTACTTTGTAAAACTTCATCTTTTTCCGGAGTTCATAAAAAACGACATACAGGCGGACAATATGAAGTGATTTGTTGCGAAGAAGATTATTGTAACAATGGTTCATTTCCTTCTCTGCCAGAAGTTACTTTTCACGGTAAATCGATTAAAATAAATGCTACATTATAACGCACACGATATCTTAATTTTTAATTCATCGATAAAATTTGTCTTAAATTTTTTTTTTTACAGATGATGTGTCTTCGATTTACCCAGATAAAAATATATATATTCTTAAATTGACGTTGGCAATCTTGGGTCCAGTTGTAGGTTTAGGAGTATTGGGTACGATAGTTTTACTCCTAATGAGAAGAACACATAAAAAAAGACTTGAAAGACAAAGCGGTTTGTGGAGTAAAGAAAGGCAAAATGGTATTTTAGATTCGGATGCTTACTACACGGATGAGTTGGTCCATGTTACAGCTCCAGGAGATAGTACACTTCGAGTAAATTTTTTAATGAACATTTGTCGAAAGTGGTCTTACTTCTTTTAAAATTTTCCTACTTAAAATGTATGCTTATTTTAGGAGTTTATGGAACATTCTCTAACTTCTGGATCCGGATCAGGACTTCCATTATTGATTCAGAGAACTTTGGCAAAACAAATATCCCTTTCCGAATGTATTGGAAAAGGAAGATATGGACAGGTATGGAGAGGCGTTTGGCACGGTGAAAATATTGCGGTAAAAATATTTTTTTCAAGAGACGAAGCCAGTTGGAACAGAGAAACGGAAATTTATAGGTACTTTTAAATTTACCCCCCCCCCCTTTTTTTTTTTTTGAATTAATTAGAAATAAATAAAATTGCTTTTAATTATTTATTTTCAGTACCGTTCTCCTTCGTCATGAAAATATTTTGGGTTACATTGGAAGCGACATGACGTCGCGAAATTCATGCACTCAACTTTGGTTGGTCACACATTATCATCCCCTGGGATCCCTTTACGATCACCTGAACAGAACTAGTTTAACACATCATCAAATGATGAAAATTTGTTTGACGATTGTTTCGGGTTTAGTTCACTTGCACAGTGAAATCTTCGGAACTCAGGTTTACTCCCCTTTTCATTACTTGCTCCCTGTTTCGACTCGTTGTCAAAAATGTGCGTTGTAATCGTTGAAATTATTTTCCAGGGAAAACCTGCCATAGCTCACAGAGACCTTAAAACGAAAAATATACTTATACGAATGAACGGTTCTTGCGTCATTGCCGATTTCGGATTGGCCGTGACTCACGTTCAAGCAACGGGACAAATGGACATAGCAGATAATCCCAGGGTGGGAACAAAACGTTACATGGCACCTGAAGTATTAGAAGAAACGTGAGTAAATCAAAATTCAATATTATTATCTTTAAATTAAATTCGTAATTAAAAAAAAAAAAAAAATTCTAATTTATTTCAGAATGAAAACAGACTGTTTCGAATCGTACAGGCGAGCTGATATGTATGCCTTGGGCCTTGTTTTATGGGAAGTGTGTACGAAAACCCTTTCGAACGGCATTGCCGACGAGTACAAGCCACCCTATCACGACGTTGTGCCTAACGATCCCTCATTCGAAGACATGAGAAAAGTCGTTTGCGTTGACGGACAAAGACCCATTCTCAGCAACAGATGGTCTTCGGATCCCGTAAGAATTTTCCCATTTTCGCAAAAATTTCCCCCGGGATTAGGATCGCATTAAAATAATTTTTTTTTTCTATTTTCCAGACATTAAACGGCATGGGAAAATTAATGAAAGAATGTTGGCATCAAAATCCCAACGTGAGACTGCCAGCGTTAAGAATAAAAAAGACTTTGATCAAATTGGCATCAGCCGATCCTTTGATACACCTCGACGTAGATATTTAACCCAATGGGAGGTACAAAAGATACAAAAGTCTGAGGAAAAATGAGAGAAAATGTACCTTAAAATGGAAAAGTGAATTTTATAGGAGGCGGCGGCCGAAAGGAGAGTGAGAGAGAGAGAGAGAGAGAGATTCGAGGCAACCAAAATGGCCGCCCACGTTCTATATATAGTATTAAAAATTTATTTGAATTTGTTGATGAAGCCTTTTTACAATTTTAGTGCCATAAGTTAAAAAAAAAATTTTTAATAATTTATATTAGAGGCTTTGAGCTTATTTAGACATTCAAGTATCATCATATTGCTGATTATAGACTTTAAATATACTCTCTACCTATCGTATACTCTTACAGTTGTGCCATAAGATGTAATAAAACAAAATTTTCATGTTTTTCATAACTAATTATTATTATTATTATTATTATTTAAAATTGTCATAATAATAATAATAGTAACTATTTTATTTTTTAACAAAGTGGAAAAGCCCAAATATGATGATTTGGGTAACGAAAGTAGAGTTTTAAGAGTTATGAAAGTCTTAAAGCTACAAATACATAAATGATTCCAGTAATAATAATAATGATGATGATAATTGGAAAAATTATCATTCAAGCACGAGTTATTATTATTATTATTATTAAAGAGTGGTTAAACGTGAAAAATATATGTAATTAAGAGTGTGTAAAAAGACGATTAGTTAATTAAATAAATAATTTTCTTATATTTAAATGTACAAATATTAATCCAAAGGAAATATCGAAAAGGAATGATGATGATGATGATGATGAATACGTTTATAAAATTGTTTTTATTAAAATGGATCTCTTAAAACTATGAATTATTATTATTATTATTATTATTAACATTTTCGAATCAATTTTATTATTATTATTTTGTATGTAAATAACATTTGTTTTATTGTATATAATTATTTTTTTAAAAATAAAATAAGAGAAACTAAACGTTTTAAATTTTATTATTTTAATATTTTAAATTACGTAAAGAAAAACAAAAAAAAAAAAAAAAAAGTTATTCAATAATAAATAAAGTAAACAATAAGTGCGCGCAAAAAATTTGGCGCCGGAGCGCGCCGCCATTTTGTTTTATTGGAAAGAAAAAAAACCGTCAGTTCCACGAAAGTCACAGGTTTCATCAAATATTTTATTTTAAATAGGTTATTAATGTGAAAATTATTCGAAAAACGTTTAAAAGTGATGTTTTTATAATAAGGTAAGTAAAAATTAAATAAATATCGATGAGAAATCAATTAATATTAGTGAAAAAGGAAGAGAATGAAAATGATGGATGGATGTTCATCATTTTCACACAAATCACCTTTTTTTTTTTTGAAAAAATTTTATTTTATTGCTTTTTTTTTACTCAGTATAGTATATCGTTCAAATAAATAACAATAATAATAATAATATTTAACTAAAAAGTGCACTTGGCAATATATATATATATATATATATCTATATATAATTTGCAAATTCTAATATGTCTACCACTACAATGAAACAGAACAAGAATAATAGTAAATGTAATTTACATGTAATTAATTATTAACCAGTCATTGAATCAATTCAAAATCAAATTTATAATAATAATAATAATAATCTTTCAGGAATGTAAAACATTTATTCACCATGGTTGATTTACAAAAAGAAAAAACAGCACAAAAAAATAAGAGCACTTCATACACATATAATAATCAGAAAACAAACACAAAAGAAAAAAAAACAAGGTAAGACAAACATTTTATTCATTTATTTATTAATTTATTTATTATCAAACACATAAACTAATTTAAATAAAAAAAAAAAAAAGTGCTTGATATAAAACACATAATAATATTATTATTATCATGTGTTATTTGAGGGTGGGTATTAATTGATATTTGTAAAACCAAATTAATTAATTAATTGTGAACAAATATCAATCACAAATTTTATTAATATTATTATTAAAAACAAATATTTCATATTCTATTCTAATTATTAACATGACTAATTATTATTATTATTATTATTTTGAAACAAACATTTAGTTTTTATAGATAATTTACACTACAGATTAAATGACAAAACAGAAAGAGTATGAAAAAAACCATCATCATCATCATCATCTTTAAAAATTGTGTTGTTTGTTTGTAATGATGATGGTGGTGGTGGGGCTGTAAAACACATAAATTATGTTTTGTATTGTGTTACACTAGCAAAAAATGACAACAACATGTTATAAAAAAACATTTTCACATGATGAAAAACAAAATATATATATTCCATGTTAAATGTATTATTTCAAGGCAAGAGTTTTATTATTATTATTATTTTATGGATTATATAAAAATTTAAAAAGAAAACACACACACACTCACAAACTTCTTGAACACACTAACAAACTGAATTAATGTTTGAATGAAATAATAATAATAATAATAATAATAATATTACAAAGTTACAAAAACACACAACACAACAAAATCTTATCAAAAAGCATGATGATGATATTTAATTACGTTTGTATAAAAAAAATGTTTTTTCTTTTCTATCAATGAATCTATTTGTATGACAAACACGTAGCCCCCTCCTCCCCAAACCTCCCCTCCCAAAAAAAAAGAAAAGAAAAAATATTTTTTCATATAAAAATAAAAATTTTATTATTTTCATAATAATAAATTATAAGGCCAAGCCTTGAACGTATACACTGTCACAATAAAAAAAGGAAAAAAAATGTTTTTGAAATGCATTTGCTTTCTCTCTCTCTCACACACGTACACACACGTACACACACGCACACAAAAACGCATAATCTAAAATAATAATAATAATGATAATAAAACAAATGCCCCAACTAAAAAACTTAAGTCATTTTTTTTTGCTAAGTATAACAACTAAAATGAATACAAAACAAAATTTTAATATCTCTCTCTCTCTCTCTCTCTTTTGTTTTCTGTTTCATAATTTTATATATATAATGTATGCATTTATATGTATATATTATATTGTTAATAATAATAATAATAATAATAGTTTTTGGCACAGCGTTCAAGCTGTTATGTTTTGTAAATAAAATATATATATATATATGTATATAATATTCTTTGGTTCGTAAGCTTATTATAATAAATATAAAAGTCGCGGATTTAAATACTAATATTTATAATAATAATAATAATAATAATAAAACAAATATTTAACGGAAAATTTAAAGTAAAAAAAAAAAACAAATTACCCGGGTAAAAACTAAAACTACTAAAATGGTGGTGCACATTAAAATATATATTATTCGATTATCGTATCGAGAATAATATATATATTATATTTTACTATGCGTGCATATACACACACATATATATATATATATATATATATATATATATATATTTATTTATATTAATATATATATTAAATAAATTGCTATTTACATTTATATATTTTTTCAAATAACTAAAATTAATATTGAACACATCTATTTATCGATCGAATCAAGCTTTCAAAAAAAATTATTTATTATGCTTCTTTCTACTTTTATTGAATTTTTAAAACTCATATTATTATTATTATTATTATTATTAATTTACTATTAATAATTTATATTGTAAGTAGGATGAGTGGAAACGAGGTTGTCTAATTCAATAAAAATTTAAACTCGAAAATTGTAATTTTTTTAACTAATGACTAAATTCGTGTGAATAGTAGGGGAACGTTTATTTTGTTGTTGTTGCTGTTGCTGTCGTTGAATTTTCTTCCAATATTTTCTTTTTTATGGTGGCTTTCGATTCTTCTTTCAAGTCTTCTTTGACAACAACAGCAGGGTCGTGATCATCGTGTCTCGTGAGAGTTTGGTGTAAAATAGTTTTCCGAAGTCCATCTTCTGATTTATCATGTGTCGTCGATATGTTGTTGTTGTGATTTATTTGGTAAGAGCTCAAATGTTCTTCGTCGCTTCCAACTGAAAATTTAAATAATTTCGTTATTGTGTTCGAACCTGAAGTTGTTACATCTACGTCAGGGATGTAGAGTGATGACGTCAAACTTACCCAAAACTTCGTCGTGAACGCTGTGTTTCTTACGATGACGTAACATGGAATGTTTAAGAGTGAATCTTCTTTGACAGACGTCGCAGGAAAATGGACGTTCTCCCGTGTGAGTCCTCATGTGTCTCCTTAAATCTTCGGCAGACCAGAAACGTCTCATGCAAAATGCACACATCACCTAAAAAGAGGAGTAACGATAATTTTACAAAATATTCTTTCATCTCGATGCAATGACGTCACTCGACGAACGAGGTACCCACTTTTCTATTTGCGTAGTCTGGAAAACGACCCCGATTCGAGTCGATGGTTTCCTCGTTATCGTCGTGTTGGTGTTTTTCTTCGTCCGTGTTTGTTTCCAGTGCACCTTTGGACACGAGTAATTGAAATTCGTTCGGATGCTGACATCTTATGTGTTCTAAAGCGTCGCTTCTCTCTCCGAATGACGAATCGCAAAGGTGACACTTGAACGGTAATTCGCTAGAAGGAACGGGTAATGATTCGGAACGGTGTCCTTCTAAAAAATCCAAAAAAAATTATTAATAACGAGGAAGAAAAAAAAATGGCGGAATCGAAAAAAAAAATTAAATTTGTTTTAATTACCCATTTCTTGAGCTTCTTGATTAACGATTCTAAGATTTGGAGAAGTTCTCTTTTTCTCCGTTGCTTCCGTCTCGTCGCTGGAACTTCTCTTTCTAAACGCCCTGGATTCTTCCCAAAATTTATCTCTCTCTCTTCCGTTTGAATGATTCAACGAATCGTTGGATTTCGTTTTATGGCTGTTCGGACTCTTTCCCGACGATTTCGAAGAATCGGGAAATTGCGGAATGATGGACAGAGCTCTGGGCAAACTCAGTGGAAATCCAGTTGGAGAGATGGTAACATTGGGAGGGCCCTGATAAATAACGTTTTTAGGCTTCGTTTCCGGCGGATCTTTGGATTCGTTTCGATTATGTTTGCTGAACAAATGTTTGTTCAAATTGCTCAGAGTCGAAAACGTCGAAGATGGACACTGATTGCATTTGTACGGACGCTCGGGAACGTTTCTCATCGGATAGTTATTATTATTATTATTATTATTACTGTTCTGAGTCGGGCTAGAAGCATTAGATGCGTTACCGTTTCCCGAAGTACCTGGAAAAATAAAAATAATGCGTCTCAAGTAAAGCGATAGCGGAAGATGTCACGAGTAAAAAACTATGAAAAAGAGTTAAAATTTTTTTTATATGATCACGTGTAAACACACGCTGTCAGTCACTCGATACTTTAACTCAAGGAAACCCATAAACCTAATTAAAGATGATTTCCGGTGTCTTTTTCTCCTGGAGTCCAGTAACAAAAATTTATAAGGCTACGAGTAACTCGATAACGTCTCATTTAAATCACATACATCGATCGATTATCGTAATTACGGAAATAGAAGAAAAACAAAAATATGATTCATTTGAAAATAATTATAAATCTAATGAATTTCGAATAGTTTCAAAAAGGAAAATCATTCCACAGAGTTATTAAAAAAATTTACTTTTTCCAGGTTCGAAACATTCGTCTTACCGGTGGTTTCTGGATTGTCGGTCTGACCCGAACTGGCTATCAAAGCCTCCCTTCCATGTTTCCTCAACAAATGACGATCGCAATTGCTTTTCGTCGTGAAGAGAAGTGGACAGTGCGTGCACTTGAAGGGCTTTTGCCCCGTGTGTGTGAGGACGTGTCTTCTTAACGAACTCGTCCAAGGAAACTTTCGAAAGCAGTAAGGACATGAAACTCTGTTCGGAGCAAGAGAATATGCACTTTTCTTTTTACCACTCCTCGAAGTAACTTCCGACTCGGATCTGGAATATAATTTCCGGTGAGTTTTTTTTTTTTCTAAGCCACTTTACTCGTCAGGTTATACTTATGAGAGAATCTGATCATTGCTTACCTGTTTTCGTCACTGCTCGTGTTTTCGGCAATTAAACCTTCTTCTTCTTCGCTCCTGTCTTCGCCCTCTTCTCTTTTCACGATGGCATCCATCCTTATTGAATCCTCGTCTTTTTTTGAGCCTTCTTGAAAGTACTTTTGGAACGCTTGAGTTTGAGTCACCGCGTTGTCTAGCATTTTCGAAACGCTTGCTAAATCTTGAGGTTGACTTTCCTTTCTTTCATTTTCTATCATTTTTTCGTCTGCGATTTTCGTATCCGAGTCCGTTTTATCCGGTGACGTACCAAGAAATTCCGGTGAACTGTCGTCATTCGATACGAAATTTTGATTCATTTTAACATCTTCTTCTTCTTCTTCTTTTTCTTCGCTTATTATCAAATCGTCTTTGGTTTCTTCGTCTTCTTCTATTCTATCCTCGATTTCGGTTTTAATAATTTCTTGTTTTATTTTAACTTCGTTGTCATCGTCTTTCACCAAGTTAAGAACGTCGTTTGAACTCTCGTATTCTTTTTTATGTTTTATGATTTCCTCCCATTTCTTTTCTTCTTCCGATCCGTTGAAATTTTCTCGAGGGACCAACGTTAAGGATTTGGTTATGGCGTAATGCTTCAGGTAGTCATTTTCGGATGATGACGAACGGTCAAAATTTCTACGATCAACTTCGTACGAATTCAATTTTATTAAATTAGATTCGGTTTTTTTCAAATTTCCAACGTTCGACCTTGGTTTTTGAGTCCAATATTGAGGATGTTGTTGTTTTATGTGTCTTTCCATGTTTGATCTGAGTGTGAATCTCGCGCTGCAATGTCCGCAGGAAAAAGGTCTTTCAGTTCTGTATCTTCTTTGCTTTTGTTTAGGTATGAGAACGCCATTTTTAATCACCATTTTCACCGACGAATTCCGACTGTCTGCCGAAGATTTTTCAATGTTTCCTAATTTTAAACTTTCTTTTTTATCATCTTTCTTATTAAGTAAAACATCTCCAAAATTTTTCTTTTCTGCTTCAGAAAGAAATTCATTTTGTTTTCTCAAAGTATTCAAACGCCTGTGTTTGTCTGTGTTTTCATTTAAACGCGAAGGAGTTTTACCAAAATATTCATTTGCGATGCGATCTTTTTCTTTTTTAAACAATAATTCAGCAATGGCTTGCTGTTGAAAAAGTTGCAATTTTTCCGACATGGATAAATTATGATTTTTCTCATCCAAAATATTTCCACCCGACATTTGTAGACCACTAACATCTTTTTGAGGACTCTTTTGCATATAATTATTAGAGTTTGAAAACAGTGGAGACGACACGAGAAACGGCGAAAATGGGAAATTGTGAAACTTTTGTAAAATCCCGGGAAAATTCAATTGAGTCAATAATATTTGATGAATTTGAGCAATGTTGAGACTCGGATACATGCAAGAATACATTTTTATTAAATTATTTATATCGAAATTTGTCGTATTTTTATTATCGTAAATTCGATCCGAATAAAAATCTGGATTCGCTTTCGAACATTTTTCTTCCACGTTGTTATTAAATTCTTTAATTTCTTCTTTTTTCGACAAATCTTGTGGCAAATCTGATGAATCCGATTCGTAATTTTTATCATTGTAAATTCTCAAATCTAAAGCTTCTTCGTTATCATCGTACTGCTGCCATTCATTACAATTTTCACCTTCGATATCTTCAGTCATGGTTCCCGTTTCAGTCCTTTTGTATTCTTCTTCGTTTTTAATGTTTTTTATGAGTTCTTGATGTTCGGCTTGAAATAAATCCTCGCTTTTTGAGGATTCTTTAAGATTCGATAAATTAATTTTTAAATTTATGGGCAAACTGAATTCTTGTTTTTCTTTCGATTTTTCCAAATTTTTCTTATTCATTTCGTTTGTTTTTTGATACTCGGAATCATTGATGGGATCTTCCGATGGATGATATATAATTGAACTTTTCACTTCGTCTCTCGTTATTTTCGAATGACGATTTCGTAGGTGTCTTTCGCAATTGGCTTTTGTCGTGAATGCGTAATTGCACATGGCACATTCGTACGGTCTGTCACCGTTGTGTGATCTCATGTGACGTACCAAAGTGGCTTTGTCGAGAGAATTGTACGTGCAGATGTTACAACGGTAAGGAGAGTTCGGTGTCCCGTTCGCGACGGATATGTGAACCCTGTTGTGTCCCTTCAACGCTCTCAAGTTGGGAAATATGGCGGTGCACAATTTACATGGGAATTCCCCCCTCAATTTCATTCTACGACATTCTGCAGCAAAACAATCTTGAGCTTCTTCCTCGACTTGATCCCCACCCGAATAATTCGTTGAAACAAAAACGTTGTAATTAGTCGAAGAAGAAGAAGATGAATTCACGGTCATATTCGAATAATTATTATCCGGACTAGATCTACTGTTTATTATTTCTGAATACAATTTATCGTTGGTTTCAATTTTGTTTTCTTTCACGGTGGAAAAATCTCGAACTTTGATTCCGGGAATGTTTGTCACGGACAGTATGCTTTGTATATCGGCCAAATCCGTTTTCGAATCGGATTTGGCCGATTTCTTATTGGAATCGGTATCATCATCATTATTATTATCACATTTCTCAGTGTTTCTAAGATCTAAGCTATTGAAAAAAGCTTTTCGTTGGAGTTCGGTAACGTTTATTTCCATATTTTCCAAACAATCATCCGAATCGGATTCCGTCGAGTGTTGCGGATGAAATTTCGGCGTGGATTTTCTCTTATTTTTTTTTTCCGATTTGGGAAAAATTTTCTTATCGTTATTTTCGCACGTTTGCACGTGTATTTCCAATGCGGAATCGCAAGGGAAAGCTCTTTCGCAATGGGGACAATCAAATGAAAAATCATCTTTCGACAAGTGTATACTTTCTTCGCATATATTTTTAGCTATGAGCGGAAATTTTTGACTTGAAAAATCGATAAAATTTATATCTTGAAACCCGATAACCTTAGGCATGTTTTTCACGTTCAATCTATCTATTTTGTATTTTGCATTTCCGTCGGATGTTGTTAATCTTTTTCTATTTTCTCCCTTTTTCGAATTTTCATATTCGTAAATGTTATTATTATTCAACGTTTTTATTTTCCTACGATTGGACATCGTGTGCACGTCTAAATCCCTTTCATTTTTTTTCGTCAATTGATGATCGTTGAGTGAAGAATTACGATTTTCATCAATCGATGATGAATCTGGGAAAAAAAAAAAAAAAAAAAAAAAAAATCACCCGTGATTTTCGTTCATTTTCGGGAAGAGGGGAGTAGGAGGAGGGAGAAGGAAAACTCACCTGATTGAAGTGTTATAGCTGGTTGAGGCGAAGACACAACTGTCTCTCTCATTGCTCCACTGGCCATTCTACCGTTTCATATCATTTTGAAATACCCCGTGTCTGTAACGGTAAAAAAAAATTAATTTTCCGAACGAGAGGAAAAACAAAAAAATTAAAAAAAAGATAATAATAATAATAAAACAACAACAAGAAGAAGAAGAAATAAATAATTTTTTTTTGTCGTCGTCGTCGTGATGAATAAGCGAGCGTAACAAGAAAAAAGGGAAGGAAAAACTGTGTTGACTTAGTGATAAGGAAAACCGCACAAATGAGAGATAATCAAGCAGCTGTGAGATCTGTGGTCCATTATAACCAAGATAACATCATCGGATTCCCGGGCTCGTGATCGATAATATGCAACAGTGAAAGTTCTATTTTTATCGATGGTGATAATAAAAAAAAAAAAAAAAAAAAAAAAAAAAGCTTTACTAATAATTAATGACGGCCGTAAACGCGATTCGAAAATTTTCTTTTCCGACTACAAAACAAATAATAATAATAATAACAATATTGAATGACGACGACGACGACGATGATGATGATGATGATGATGATGACTATGAGAAAATTTATATGTGCTCTGAGCTCGGCCGGGGGAAGATGTCAGAATAGATGAAATAGCGTGCGTAAGAGAAGTCTCTGTATATATATAGATCGCATAACTAATGCGGTTACCTGGACAACCTCTAAACAAACATTTCCTATCTCCACAACAGAGATATATGTCGCGAGTAACCCGGACAACAGGGAAAATGGTGTCACAACAATTCCTGATGAAGAAGAAAAGGAGAAGAATAAAAGGAAAAAGATTTTCCTCGTATAATCTACAGGAGGAAATCAAAAAATTGAAATCTCTCCCTAATTTTTTTTTCAAAAAAATGGGGGAAAATCGAGGAACGAACCTGACAAACAACTACCTACCAAACAGTTCGCGAAAGAAAGAGAGAGAGAGAGAGAGAGAATGATAATTAGCGATTAACCGACTGTGATATTGCGAGTACATAAAAAATTATTTAATTTATCAAATTATTAGAATAAATAAGGCATGAAGTGATGTTTCTTCTGCTCGACATTAACCGTTTTTTTTTTTTTTTTGCGGTTGTCGTTTATTATTATTATTATTATTATTATTATTATTATTATTATTATTATTATTATTATTATTATTATTATTACCATCATAGTAGTCATCACCGTCACCACCATCACACTTTTAACATTTTACATTCGCGACAAAAAAAAAAAAAAATTTTTTTTTACGACTTGAAATATTTCACAAACCGTTAAAAAAAAAAAAAAAATGATAATAATAATAATTTTACTTTATTTTAAATTACAGATAAAAAAACAAAAAGATCTACGAAACAACTGAACTGATAAGAGAAAAACCTTTTGGTAATATCTGTGTTAAAAAGAGAAAGATAGACAGAGAGATAGAGAGAGAGAGAGAGAAGGATAGAAAAACATTGTTTGTCGTCGCTTTATTATTTTTCGTCATCATCATCATCATCATCATCTTTCTTCTTCCACGCGATCTTTTACAAAAATATCGACAAGTATCAAACAACTAAAATGAATTATCAATCGATTGATTTTCCATACTGACAAATATTGGAATGTAACCGCGTAAGTGTTTGTTTGTTTGTTTTTCTCTCTCTCTCTCTCTCTTTTTCTTTAACGAAGTGATATTGAGAGTAATTAAAAGCAACAACAACAACAACAACAAATCTTAAATGATTTACCGTACGACGTAAGTCAGTCGCGAGATTCGCGGGTTAATTATACTAAATTGTTAAATCTAAAATTATCTATTGACACGTCAATAACGTGTTGTTGTTGTTGTTTTTTTTTTTTTTCAACTTCAATTATCATCAATCGTGTACTATTTGTTTTTCTATATTTCAAATGTAAAAAAAAAAAAGCAAAAATAAAACGCGAAAATAATAATAACTGAAATTAATATATATATTAATTATTTGTTTCGCGTTTCAATTGCTTCGTATTATATCCTAATTAGAATATCGTATTTATACACGGGGATTATCCATTTTATTTAGAATCAAATATACGTGAAAAATTTTCATTTTTACTCTTGTCGTTTGTTAAAATTAAATTTTTAAGATAAACTATTGTTGAAAGTCATTTTAAACATTGTTTCCAGGTGTGAGTGTCAGACAGCAGAAGGAGGATGTTAGAAAAACGCAGCAGGTGATGCTGATTGTTAAAGAACAAAACGCGTGCCGGCCACCTTTCATCTTACCAACAAAAAAAACAGGTTCTTCCTCTTCTCTTTCGAAATTGAGTCGAAAAAAACGAAAAAGGTAAGCAAAGTACGAAATTAAATGTAATAAAAAAAAAAAAAAAATTTTTAATTTAACGAAATTTAATCATCCCAAGTAAAAATGAAGAAATCGTAATTCGACAAAAATAAATTTCGGTTGTTGTTCGATTTCTCCGATTCGAATCCTTTGCCACGATCGATACGTATATAGAATAAAATTTCGAAATTTCCAAATTCCCCATCGTCCTCGTGTGTGTATATACACGAAAATAACCTCTTTTTTATTACACTCGTTGCACAAAAAAAAATACCCATTGCCGGTCAACCTAATTAAAATTTTCCAAAACCTTATATATTTTTTAAAAATTAATTAATTGCGTCATTATTTCAGATTTCGTGAAAATTGAGAGAGAAGAGAGAGAAAGGAAAACACACACAAATGAGGGTAGTAGATCGTTCTTT